CCATGGTGGTTTAGGTATCAGAGATCTAAGAAAGCATAATCTTGCTCTATTGGGGAAGTGGTGGTGGAGATTGGCCACCCAACTAAACTCTTTCTGAGCACAGGTTATTCGGAATAAATATAACATTCCGGACCGCATTTGGGTACCTGAGAGGCCATCACGAAGCAGGGCTTCAGGAGTTTGGAAATCTCTCGCCTCTTCTCTTTCTCAGTTCAAGAAAGCGCTTCGTTTCCGTCCAAAATAAGGAAACAGAGTTTGCTTTTGGTCTGATCTATGGATTGGACATGCTTCCCTTAGGGACTTATTTCCTAGCCTGTTTCAACTTGCTTCCAACAAAGAGTCCTGTATTGCAGATGAAATGTTCTTGGCAGGGGGGCGTAGAACTTGGAACCCCATGTTTCGAAGGAATCTCTCTGAAGAGGAAATATTAGCTTTCACCACTCTTTCAGCTGCTCTTCACCCGGTGTTCACTATCTCCATCTGGTAAGTTTTCAGTAGCATCTTTCGATAAAAAACTTATCCAACCTCCTATTTTCCCTTTAAATCCCATCTCTCCTCTCTCCAAAGTGTGGAACACTATAGCTCCTCCAAAAGTTCAGTCTTTCTATTGGATAGCAGGCTGTCAACGGGCCCTCACACTTGATCAGCTCCAAAAAAGCGGCCTGCCACTTCCTAACAGGTGTGTAATGTGCCTGAAAGAGGAGTCAAACTCCCACCTTTTTCTACATTGCAATGTGGCTTATGAGCTTTGGACACTGATTCGACACTTATTTAGTCTCAAATGGGTCCTCCCACATTCGGTTAAAGATTTATTTCTTCATTACTTGGAAGGTCCTTGGCCCAAAGCAGGTAGAACCTTGTGGAGGGCAGCAATCGCTGCTACCGTATGGGTTTTATGGCTAGAAAGAAATGAGAGGGTCTTTCAAGGACACAACAATGAAGTTTCAGGGCTGTTTCATAAGGTTACCTCACTCGTAACTTTTTGGGCTTCCACCCACAGTATCTTTGGTGGGATTCCTATGAGCTCTTTCTCAGGCAATGTGACAATATTATCCAACTCCAGCCTTTCGAGCTACAACGACCTCACAACTGGTTACCTCCTTTAGAAAATGCCATAAAGCTTAACTTCGATGGCTGTTCCTTGGGAAACCCGGGCCCTTCAGGAGTAGGGGGAGTTTTCCGCGACCACAATCGAAATGTTCTCATGACATACTCAAAATATGTCGGAAATGGAGATTCACAATTTGCCGAAGCATTGGCACTCCTAATGGGCCTGAAATTTTTTAAACCATCTTGGGGCTAATCATTAGTGGTGGAAGGAGACGCAAAAAACATTCTATCATAGGCAGCAGGCACCACTACCCCTCCTTGGTACCTTTCTAGAATCTTTGATGAAATTTACCACTCAACATCTGTTGGATGCATACCTGGCGGACGTCGAACGAGTTCGCCGACCTCCTCGCTAAAGATGGTGTGCGACGATGACCACACTTGGAAGACAATGAATGGTCTACCTCCTTTTTTGCACTGGACCATCGAGGTCTTCTAGGACACTAGATTTTTTGGTTGTTGTTTTTTGTAACAGGGTGTGCTTATAAGCCCAATTTTTTTGGGACCTCAATCTTTTGGTTACAGCCACTTCTAAGGATATAAGTTGTATAGGGTTTTTGGCTAAATGTTTTGACTGAGATACCTGGCTCGTGGGTATTCTCAGTCCTCTCCTCCCTCTTTCTGCGGTATTCCTTCTTTTTATATAGTAATACAATGATAACATTATTAAAAAAAAAAAAAAAGCCTATGAACTATTTCCCTCCCCCCCCCTCCTCCAAAAAAAAAAAATAAAGTAAAAATGCAGTGCCTCTGAATTGTTACAAGATAAGATAATTAAAGTGGAGCATTACTTGTCTTCTGTCCTGTATATGCATGTGTGGCCAACCTTCAGCCCTCCTCACTATTCCCCCCACCCCAACCAAATGAAGAATACATGCCTTGAAAATGCCTATTTTTTAAAATCATGAAACTTGATTACTAGAAAAAATTATGCGAGTAGTGACGATTTGCCTATTTCTTACGTTTAGTCTTCACTTCTCATATCATATCCAGAAAAGATATATAAATAATTGTTGCTAAATGTGTTGAGGAGATGCAGCAGGAGTGAACTTCTACTTCAAAAATTATGAAATACATGTTTTGTAGAAATCTAGTTGATAGAAAAATATATTACTTGTAAGCTTTGCTTTGTGGATATGTTGTAGGCATTGGTGTTAAACATTTGTCCTGGTTTCCTATGTCATTGGTTTGAGCGTGTCAAAGTAGATGGTCTTTCTCTTGATAAGTTGGTCCACGTCTCCTATGCCTGCGGGAGATCTAATTAGAGAATGGATTTTTCTCTAGAACCCTGGTTTGGACTTTCTTTTCCCTTTTAGCCCACCCTTGAGGGTTTTTCAACGTTTTAGATGAGGAGGCTTGAACTCTTGCTATTCGGGCCATAATCCTAATATTTAGGCCCTAGTCCTTCTCTAATCCTCTAAAAATGTCTCTATTGAAAGGTGACTTAAGTCATTCTGATCAGATGGGGCACAAATGAGTCCTAGTTCCTTGGTGGGTCATTGACATTCTAGTAGAAGTCTAGGAGTCTGAGCTTCCACTTGTTGATCACCTTCAAACATGTTCTTCTTGAAGTGGTTCTCCTTATTGCGTTGAACATGATTTTATGTCATGTTATGGTCATAGATTGCATTGTCAAACAATGTATATGTGATATAATTAATAGATTGAATTGTTTAATGATAGAGAGTGATTAAAAAATTATAGTGAACAACATAACATTGAATGAGTGTAGCTGAGATGAGGATGTTGGGATGGATGAGTGACAATATAAGAAATGATAGAATTCGGAATGAATACATCCGAGGGACTTAGGGGTAGTTCCAATAGGCAATAAGATAAGGGAAAGTGGATTTAGGTGGATGGCCATGTACAACGGTGGCCTAGAATAGTACCAGTTAGAAGGGTGATTTGTTTTAAGTGGAAGCTCTAAAAGGGCAAGGGGCTGGCACCTAGGCCGCTAGGTCGGTGCCTGGAAACACCTTTGCCCCCTGCGGGGGGGGGGGGGGGGCGGCACACCTTGGCTATCGTCTATTATTTCAAACATAGACTTTTGTTTTTTTGGTTTGTTTGTGCTGTAGTCTATTTATTTCAAACAACAATATCCCAATTACTTCAAATACATACATGAAGGAATGTACACAATATTCTTTTACTTTTTTTTTCACGCAAATTCTTTGTTGTGTAATATGAAACCATATGTTGCACCACTGATCTATAATCAAATTTCTTATAATCTTTTGTGGGGTTTAGCCAATTTTCTTAATTTGTTTTATAATTAGTATCCCGTCCAACCAAAACATGCAACTAACCCTAATTTGCGAGGGTCCCTGGCATATTTACTTCCACATATCATCGAGACCGGTCCTTTTTATCATCAACGATCATTTCAAAATCACGTTTAAAGAATAAAGGAAGGCATCTTTATGACCTTATGATTTGATTGAGGGTATGACCATTGATAGAGCAGATTGGTAGAACAAGATTCGTGCAGCTGACCCTAAATAGTTGGGATAAGGCTGGTTTGAACTTTTTTTCCCCCTTTCAGCCCGCCCGTGAGGGTTTTTCAACTTTTTAGATGAGGAGGCTAGAACTCTTTACTATTTGGGCCATAATCCTAATATTTGGGCCCTAATCCTTCTCTGTTCCTCTAAATTGTCACTATTGAAAGGTGACTTAAGTCATTATGATCAGATGTGGCACAAATGAGTCCTAGTTCCTTGGTGGGTCATTGCCGTGCTAGTTAAGGTCTAGGAGTTTGAGCTTTCACTTGTTGATGACCTTCAAACATTTTCTTCCAAAAGTGGTTCTCCTTACTGCATTGAACATGATTATATGTCGTTGTAGTGATAGATTGAATTGTCAAACGATGTATATGTTATATAATTAATATATTGAATTGTTTACTGATAAAGAGTGATTAGAAAAAATTATATTGAACAACATAACATAGAATGAGTGTAGCTGAGATGAGGATGTTAAGATGGATGAGTGGTAATGTAAGAAAGGATAGAATTCAGAATGAATACATCTGAGGGACTTAGGGGTAGTTCCAATAGGCAATAAGATAAGGGCAAGTAGACTTAGGTGGTCTGGCCATGTACAACGACGGTCTAGAATGGTACCAGTTAGAAGGGGTGATTTCTTTCAAGTGGAAGCTTTAAAAGGCCAAGGGAGAGGGTCAATATTAAAAAAAAACGAGGGTTGGCGCCTAGGCTGCTGAGTCGGTGCCTGGAAACACCTTTGCCCTCGGTGGGGGGGTGGGGGAGGCAAATTCTTTGTTGTGTAATATGAAACTATATATTGCACTGATCTATAGTCAGATTTCTTATAAATTTTTGCAGGGTTTAGCCAAATTTCTTAATTTTTTATAATTAATTTCCCATCCAACCAAAACATGCAACTAACCCTAATTTGTGAGAGTCCCATGCATATTTACTGCCACATATCATCAAGACCAGTCCTTTTTATCATCAACGATCATTTCAAAATCACGTTTAAAGAATAAAAGAAGCCATCTTTATGACCTTATGGTTTGACTGAGGGTATAACTTTTGATAGAGTAGATTGGCAAAGCAAGATTCGTATTGCTGATGGCTTGGATGATGATGATAATGATGATGTCAGTGGATCAAAAAACTTCTTTTTGTAAGATTCACAGAAATATTGGCAAAGCAGTATTTTTATTTCTAAAAATGTTATAGAAAAGTCCCTCTCTAGAAATTGCATTGATGATGAATTGCCATAGCTTTTTAATACATTTGCATTGTTAGGCATACTAATCACTGTGTTTGTTTTCTGGTGGGTTCTTGATGTTGCTGCTGAATAATTTGCTTGGTATCTTGACTTGGTTCTTGACAAGGCTTCTAAATGATTAGCATTGAACCTTGCAGTATGGAGTTTCTTTCAAGATCTGCTGCTGGTGACGGCCCACTTGTTGCATTTGGTAGTTCAGATGGTGTGATCAGGGTCCTTTCAATGATTACATGGAAGGTATGAATCTAATTTGAATTTTTTATATAGAGTATCCATGCTTTTTAAAACGCTAATGGTCAACAACTATTCTCTGTAGCTTGTTCGCAGATATACTGGTGGTCATAAGGGATCGATTTCTTGCTTGATGACATTCCTAGCTTCATCTGGTGAGGTAATTCGTACTTCTTATCCAACATAATGTGGCATATTAATATTGTTTACAGTATTATGGTTTCTAACTATTGTTCCTTGACAATCACTGTAGCCTTTCTATGAATGTGCTGCCTTCTTTTCTTTTTTAACATACTTGCATCTACTGAGTATGGTAGGGATTTTACATACTCCTTGCATAATATATAATGTAGTCCAAAAAATGGGGTGTGTCCAGTCTCCTTGCTAAACTATGTCTAATATTCATGAACATGGGCATCAGATGTACGAGTTGCTGTTGTTTGGCAATAGAATCTCCGCTTTTTGAGCTTCCCTACAAAATAAGTAATGGTTTTAGTTCTGTTCTGTGTACTTGTGTACTAAATGGGATAAGGCTTGGATGATGATGATGATGATGATATGTTGTTGTGTTCTATTTGACTTTAGTATAATAAAGCTATAGACACACATGTTGTTATTTCTTTGATGTACGCTTTGTTTAGGCTTCTGTTGATTTCCATATCATATTACAATTTGGGCCAATCTGGAATATTTTATTCATGTGCAATTTGACCTCGAGGGGTCTTTGATTTTCAAGTTTGAATTGATTCCAATTGGCCCCTCAAATTGAATGCTTCGCAAAGACTCCAAGTTGTTTTGCAAAAAAATTCATATTCGCTCTCTCTCTCTCTCTCTCACACACACACACACACACACACACACACATACACACACACACACACACACACACACATACACCCTGTCACCACCACCACTATCGCCGTTAAGGCTGAGAATTTACCTGGTTTGGATCCGAAAATTGAATTTCGGACCTTGTTCGGATCTGGGTATGGATCTAAAATTTGGATCCGATGGGTCGGATCTAGATCCAAAATTTGGAGCCAAATGGTAATTCGGATTGGATCCGGGTATAGGTGGATTCGATTAGGATCCGACCCAGTTATATAAAATATTATATATTGTTATATATATTCATATATGTTATATAGTATTTTTTGTTATATATTATTTTATAGATATAACATAATATATAAAATTTTTTTTTGGATCCAATCATGTCTGGATCCCTATCCGAATCCCATGTATACTTTTCGGATCCTCATCTAGATCCAAATATTCTAGATCCGATCTGATCTAGATGCGGATTTGGATCCCATGTATATTTTTTGTACCTAAATCTGGATCCCGGTGGATCTGGATCCAATCCGATCCATTCTCAGCCTTAATCGTGATTGCCACCCCTGCTACCACCACCAACACCACCGCCACTCCATTACCCACTCCACCCCACCACCTGCTAGCATCTCCTCCATTGCAGCCTCCTAGCCACCACTACCTCATCACGCACTCCACCGCCATCTCCACAGTCTCCAGTAGCAGCACCACCACCGCCATCACCACTGTATTTGCTCCATCGCCATCACCACCACCACTGCTGCCATGATATCGCATTGTGACCACCACATCATCACACCAAACAACCCTGGATAACAACCAATCACCATTGCCACCCCTGCTACCACCACCACCACCAACACCACCGCCACTCCACTACCCACTCCACCACCTTCTACCATCTCCTCCACTACCGCCTCCTGGCCACCACTAGCTCATCATGCACTCCACTGCCATTCTCCACAGTTTCCACCACCACCAGCAGCAGCAGCACCACCACCACCACTGCGTTTGCACCATCGCCATCACTACCACCAGCACCACGTCCACCACCACCACCACCACTCCACCCCCCCTCCCCCAAAAAACCACTACCTCCTCCATCACTACCTTCACCACCATCACACTGCTGCCATGATAATCACATTGTGACCACCACATCATCATGCCACACAATTATAACTTGCAATTCAATTTGAAACAATCAAACACCCCTGGATATCAAATGATATACAGCAATAGTCAATTCTAATTTGGATAAAAGCACCATTTGACAAAAAGTGAAATCAAATGGTGCCTTAATATTTCAACAAAGCTTTTCTATCATCACGTGATTTTTGGTCCATACATCTGAAGTGTATTTGGACGTTCTCATCTATATTTATGTATCTTGTCAATGCTTTCAGGCACTCCTAGTTTCTGGCGCTAGTGATGGTTTGCTTGTTCTTTGGAGTGCTGACCATATTCAAGATTCTCGTGAACTTGTACCCAAACTGAGTTTAAAGGTAACTTTTCTGCCCCCTGTAGTCATGCTTTTGATGGTTCTTTCATAATTGAGGCAACAAATAGCGACAAAAGGGGTGGTTTTTCTAGTTGCTTTTACCTGGTTTCTGTATTACGTTAGGTAGAAATAACGATTCCATGATTTTTGAATTAATTCACAAAATCTTGGATCGTTAAACAATAGGACTACTACAACTTGATCTTTGATGCAAGTTCTTATATATGATGTGGAAGAAAACCTTTAATTCTGTATGTTGTTTTTCTAATTGGTAATCATATAGTGAGCTTCTTATGTCTTTCTGCTCTAATTTTCTAGGCTCATGATGGTGGACTTGTAGCTGTTGAACTTTCCAGAGTATTGGGAGGTGCGCCGCAACTGATTACAATTGGTGCTGATAAGTCCTTGGCTATTTGGGACACTGTTTCCTTTAAGGTGCCAAAAGCCAAAATCTGTTTTACTTTTGATGCAAGGGATGGATTTTTATTTCAGGCTATATTCATTTAGTTATCAGGCTAGATTCCTAGGATGGAATTTTATTGTATATTTTCTTTAACTTAAGCATACTTCTTGGCTAATCAGGAGATGCGGCGTATTAAACCCGTTTCAAGGGTTGCTTGTCACAGTGTGGTTTCTTGGTGCCATCCTCGTGCTCCGAGCCTTGATATCCTAACTTGTGTTAAGGATTCCCATATTTGGTATGTAATATCAAACCTTTTGTACTACTGTTGTGGTTATTTGTAATGTTGAGCTTTGGAATGTTATGCTTTATCCTTTTTCTTTCTGTAGTATTATTATCACCCTGCTTAATTTGTTTTCTTTTATTTTTGGCCCTTTGTAGGGCGATAGAACATTCGACTTATTCCGCGGTGACACGACCCTTGTGTGAGCTGTCTTCATTAATTCCTCCAAGTGTGCTTGCACCAAATAAAAAACTGCGGGTATGTACGTTATATTTCTTCTCATTTAAATGCATAAAGGGAGTTAACTTTGTTAACGATTGTTCTCGGGAAAGCGATAAATTTTCATCATGTTGAATAGTTCTCCATGAAGCTTTTTAAGGTTAAAGGAATGCTTATAGTTTTTGAAGTAGACACGCTGGGGCCTTTACAATGAGCCTTTATTGTGAATTTCCATTCTAGAATATCTTTCAGTAGATGATATCAGGTATCCTATGACAAACGTACCAATCTATTGTGCAAAAAGCATTAAATTTTAATCTGTAGCTTACAGAAGTCTCGGAATTCTTTTCTTATATTGTTTGTATTTTTTCTTATAGTACTTTTCTAGAATTGTCCCTTCACAGCCACAACCATGGTAAGATCTCATTGTTAAGAAGCGTGTAGGAATCTATGACCTTAAAGTTTGAGATCTTAAATGCTATGATATTTTCTTAGTGGGGACTTTCTCTCTTTCTTGTATGCTATTTGCAGTATAGATATGCTCAAATAAGCCTTCCTTACACCCAGAGACATACTTGCAAACTTTGGATTGTCTACCTGTTGGCTGGTCAGCATTATTGTCATGCTTAGCTAGTGCCTTTTTGCATTTATAAGAAATCTGGTTCCTTCTTTTTCTTGATATATGCCTCTCATGTCATTTTTTATCTTGCTATATGCTTTGCCCCCTGGATATCTTCTACGTTCTAGATTCAGTTTGCTAATTACTAACTTCTTGTTTTGGTGTTGTGACGTAGATATTTCTGTTATATCCCTTGAAAGTTATATGGGATTTAACTGCTCTTTTTTTTACATAAATTACTTAGGAAGTGTATGATTATCTATGTAATTTATTATTATTATTATATTATTATTATTATTATTATATTATTATTATTATTATTATTATTATTATTATTATTATTATTATTATTATTATTATTATTATTATTATTATTATTTGATTTGGAAATGCACAACACCTTTCTGGTTTTCATACTAAATTTCGTTGCATCTTTTTCATACCCATGTTGTCAATGTGCTTTTTGCTGGCATCTAATGTGCTTGTGCTTTTTGATGGCCTCTAATGTTCTTGTCAGGATGTTTATTATAGTGTTGTTGCTGAAATGAAAATAGTAATCAAGTGTTGCTTTTTACTATCGTTGCTAGACACCTTGAATGACCTACTAGTTGGCTTCTTCTTGAATCATGTTGTGATGGATGCTAATTTAGAAGTGGGTTCCCTTGCGTTTGAAAGAGCCCTGAGAGTCTCCTTGAGTCATGTTGTGAGTTTTTGAAAGAGTCTTGAATGTCATCATCTGAACACCTTTCTGTTGCCTTAAGTCCCCTTATCTGCATTATGTCTATAGCAGTTTGTATGCTGTGGATTTTTACTTTTATTAAATATTATTGAATGTCACTCTATAGATTTTATTCTTGCATAGAGACCCTTTCACTTATCATTATGGGTATTCTAAATAACTATGCTACTATTTGTAGTACTCTGCAAATCACTATTTACTTTTTCGATTCTTTGTACCATGATTGTTGAGATAAATTCTGCGACCATCTATGACTAATATACTGTTGTAATCTTTCAATCATAATGAGTTGTTTAAGACAGAGAAGAAATCAGGTGGCTCTGGAATTATTCGTAGTTATTAAACGTAGATGCATCCCTAAAAGCATATAGATTACAGACATGCGAGATCTGACGTTACCTAGGTTAGCAGTAATTCTCTTATATATGTAACGAGAAGCAACCTATGTCATTTCTTAAAGTCGGAGTAGTCTGTTGTTTTCTATTGTAGTAGCATTCTATTCTATTCTATATAGTATTAAGTAGTCTATTGTTTCCTATTGCAGCAGTAGTCTAGTGTAAAAATAGTCTTTGCCTCGTATACATTGTTGTAGGGTGTTTTTGACATGTTTGTATCCTCTGTGCAAATAATGGAGAAGCCAATGGCAACATAGACCCACAGGTACAAAAAATGCTTAAAGACTAAGGAAACCTTGACTGAATAAGTCTTATTCTTGAGAGCCTTGATAGTAATGCCATTTCACCTCTAAATCAAGCACATGAGTCTAACATGATGATCTAAGAACCCCCTCCAAGTTTTGGTCTATTCGGATGCAAATGGAAGAAATAGGTACGATTGGTTTTCAACCCAAGTTCTTATCATGCTACAGTGCACCATAGCTTGAACTCTACTCTAGAGATTTCCAAATGACTATGAGACCACTGTCAATGGATTTGGGAGGCCGATAACAGTTATTGTGCCAAGTTTCAATCCAATCTGACCTTCTTAGGTCGTACCTACTAAAATTGGCAAGTTTCTAGCATGTTATGGTACAACATAGCTGGAACTCTACTCTAGAGATTTCCAATGAATATGAGACTACCGCCAATGGATTCAAGAGGTCGAGGACAGTCATCATGCCGAATTTCATCTCAGTCCGACCTTGCTAGGTCGTATTTACCAAAAATAGTAAGGTTTTTAGTATTCATTGAATCCATTTGAACCAGTTGCTATTTATAATAATTATTTTTTTTTGTAAAAAGGAAAGCTTTGGAAGCTTGACTCTCCCTCGTCTTAAAACGGATGGATCTCAAATTCGAGTATGCTGTTCCCCTCATAAAGTTCTACGATTCAGTGGGTGGCTTGCACCATGGTAGCTCACAGAAAGGGAGAAATCCTACAGAGAAGGTCACCAAAATCGATGAAAATGTAGAAAATTTCAGCTGTATATCTTCTCGCTCCAATGCTCATATCTTGAAATTCTGGACTCCCACGACCTCAAAGCCGGGTTCGTTGCGACCGCAGCTCAGAGAGCTTCGTTTTGAGTACTCATTCGCTAGTAATGGAGACTGAGAATGTGCTATATTACGGCTCGAAAGAAGGCACATTTTTCTACGCCAGGAATTCAATTTTCCAGTCACCTCCCCAATTTGGAATGTGATCATTTAACACCCAAATCGAGGGATTCTATTGCAAAATGATCAGAATAACTTTCCCTTGGATTTGTGATAAAAAAAATGACCGAAAACAAGAAGAAACGAGCTAGATCGAAGATTTAAAGTTGTAAATTTATGAGTTTGGCCGGATTTTGAGAACAACCTGAAAACTTCGACTCAAACTCAATAATGGACATGAAAACAATCTCCTTGATACGACAATGGTTTTTCCGATGATTGATCGTTTGAAAGCTCTTCGAAAAGTGCCTAGTATGGTTTATTGTGAATCCCTCAGGGTATTGAGGTTTCAAGCTTGATACCTTTCTTGTCATTCGTTAAATACCTCCTTGGGGACGTTACGTTGGAAGGCCGCCCAATTTTTGGGTGATTCTCTCTCTCTCTCTCTCTCTCTCTCTTCTACCTCTTTTACCTCTTCTATCTTCACTTTCTATAATTCTGTCTCGGCCCAAACCGCTAAGTTTTGGTTCCCAAATCTCCTAAGGACTATGACTAGTATGGGTAAAGGTGTATAGTTAGCTTGGGTTGGGTTGGGTAAGGTAGGTTAAGGACCATGATTAGTATGGACTATGGTTAAGGTGGGGTATAAGTTAGGGAGTATAATGAATGGGTAAGGTACGTTGTATGAACTAGGATCAAGTGTGGTGTATGGACTAGGATGGGTTAAATGTGGTACAGGGAGTATGGACTATGGGTGGTATGGACTATGGACTGGAGTTGGGTGTTATGATATGGGTAGTGTGGTCCAAGGTTTGGCTAGGGTGGTGCAAGGGTTGTCTCTCACTTGCAAAATATTTCTCTCTCCTCTCTCTTGGGGTGGAAATGAAGACACAAGCAGAAAAAAAGAGCTAGCACAAAGCACTTTCTTAATAATTTTCCACCTTAAGTTACAAATGAATGATAAGGAGCTTATATGTGATCTCCCCCAAACATGGGTGGATGATCAAAACAACTCAAAATTGCTCAAAATTATATTTTTCTTTATTAAAAAATGATTTTCGTCTTTGGGACAAAATGACCGTTTTGCCCTCTCAACTTTCTTTGAAATGACAAAATCGTCTCGAAAAAGGGGCCTCTTGCCTTCTTTGTGGTTTGGGGCTCTTTTGGGCACTTTCTGGCGAGCTTTCGGATGATCAATCATCGGAAAAGCGATTGTTGTGTCGAGGAGATTGTTTTGATATCCATTATTGAGTTTGAGTCGAAGTTTTCTGGTTTTCAAAATTCGGCCAAACTCATAAACTTGCAACTTTGAATATTCGATCTAGGTTGTTTCTTCTTGTTTTCGGTCATTTTTTTTATCATAAATCGTAGGGAAAGTTAATGCGATCAGTGTTCCAAAAAGCGGACTGCCTAGCTCTTGGGAGGCCGCCTAGGTGGATCTGAGGGGCGCCCTAAAAAAGCGGTGGTTCCTTGGCGCCCTCCTAGGCACCCAGGAAACCGCCCAGCGCTCAGACTTGGATGGCTGCCCATGTCCAGTGCCCCACCCAGAGTCGGAAATTGCTTTTGGTGGGGGCATTTTTTGTCCATTTGTTTTGATACTAAAGGGCCAAGGTTTTAGGTTCATTTGAACCTAAAACTTATTGGAGCCAATTTTAGAGAGAAAGAGCCTCCAAAAAACTACTTTTTTGGTGATTTCTTTAGGATCGTAGGGTTTCTCAAAATTGTGAGAAATTGATCAAAAGATCACACATTGATATTAGGTTTAATTTTTGATATTTTATAAATCTATTGTGGGTTTTTTTAGAAGATTGAGTCCTTAGAAGCATCTAGTTTGGAGATTGAGCAATCAAACTCAAAGTAAGTGATTTTTTTTATTGCTTGTATAAATTGCATTAGTTTGAGATGTCTTATTCGGGATCTAATAGGAGTGGTGATCCCGGTTGGATACATGGGTACAACCCAGATCCTAATGATAAAAATTGCATAAGATGCAATTTTTGTGAGAAAGATACAAAAGGGGGCATATGCTCAAGAAACATATTGCCGGTATCAGTGGGGATGTTGCCCCATGTAAAAAGACTCCTGATGC